TATTTTTTATACAAATTTTTTTAGTACTTTTTTTTATACATTTTTAATAAATTTTTCCTTCGCTCTTCACGTTTTACAGTATTTCCAAATGTACCTTCTGCACCTGGCCTGTCCTGTGATGGCGAAGATCGTAAGTCCAATAAACACATAGTGTTGCTCTAGTTTTAATTTTTAAATTTCATAACTGTAAATTAAACTAATTTGCATTAMGCAACGCTTACACGACTTTCCACCCGCTTGCAGGCAGCATCTACAGACGTGGCGCACGCAGATGGCGTAAACTCTACCGGGTCAACGGACACATTTTCCAAGCCAAACGCTTCAATCGCGTAAGTACACAACAACAACTGCTAACAACACACTAATTAATGTGCAATTTTATCACAAACACGCAGCGCGCCTTCTGCGCCTACTGTCAGGACCGCATCTGGGGCTTGGGACGGCAAGGTTTCAAGTGCATACAATGCAAATTGTTGGTGCACAAAAAATGCCATAAACTCGTACAGAAGCACTGCACCAACGAACATGTGGAGCCGTTAGTCAAGGAGCGTGACGACGCTTTCGCCGAACAGCTGCCACAGGTGTTGCCACCGCTGCCCGATTATGCGTCGCAAGCGAGTGGCAGTGGACAYGGCGGCATGGTGGATGGCAGCGATCCGTTGGCAGCGCTTGAACTACAGCCRCACGATGGACAGTTGCAGCAGCAACAGCAACAACATCAAAATATTGAAGAACAATTGGAGCCGGGCACACAGCGGCAATATTCCATAAACGATTTCGAATTGATACGCGTCATTGGACGTGGCAGCTATGCCAAGGTCTTGATGGTCGARCTGAAGAATACCGGGCGTATTTATGCCATGAAAGTGATTAAGAAAGCGCTCGTCACCGATGATGAGGACATCGATTGGGTGCAAACGGAGAAGCATGTCTTCGAGACGGCATCGAATCATCCGTTCTTGGTCGGTTTGCATTCGTGCTTCCAGACACCGTCACGTCTATTCTTCGTRATTGAGTTTGTGCGCGGCGGTGATCTTATGTTCCATATGCAACGACAACGTCGTCTACCTGAGGAGCATGCKCGYTTCTATGCGGCGGAAATCAGCTTGGCATTGAACTTTTTGCATGAGAAGGGCATTATATATCGTGACTTGAAGTTGGACAATGTGCTGCTCGACCATGAGGGTCACATTAAGTTGACCGATTATGGCATGTGCAAGGAGGGTATACGTCCCGGTGACACGACCTCCACCTTCTGYGGCACACCCAACTATATAGCGCCGGAGATTTTGCGTGGYGAAGACTATGGTTTCTCAGTGGATTGGTGGGCGCTGGGCGTGCTATTGTACGAGATGTTGGCCGGACGTAGTCCATTCGATATAGCCGGCGCATCGGAGAATCCCGATCAAGTGAGTGATTGTGTTTTCTTCTTTAAATTTTTAAAATTGCTTAAATTTTTTTTCTCTCTCATTCTCGCAGAACACTGAAGATTATCTGTTCCAAGTGATTTTGGAAAAGACCATACGTATACCGCGTTCGCTAAGCGTTAAGGCCGCGTCTGTATTGAAAGGTTTCCTTAATAAAAATCCAGCTGATCGCTTGGGTTGCCATCGTGAGTCCGCTTTCATGGACATTGTGAATCATCCATTCTTCAAGAGTATCGACTGGGAAATGGTAAGCGATGTTGTTGCCAGTTTATGCTTTACTTATTGTTGATTTTAAAATGCGAGTCTAGTGCAGAAAATTTCGATTTGCTGTGTGCAGTTGCGTCTGCGCATACTGTTGAGAAGATACATAAAACAAATTGCAAGTGTGAAAATTGATGATTATAGTACAATATTCTTATATACATACATACATATGTATAGTTATTAGTTATTAGTTTACATGTTTATTTATTGAAAAAATCAAAAATATTCAGCTTTACTATATATGTAACTCGGCGCATATACACGAAGCCGAAGTTGTGGAAGAAGTAAGCAGAATTTGAAGACAAACTTTTAGAGTGGCAATAATGGTACAGAATTTATATATTCAAAAYTCGGAAGAAAAAAAGTTTTCGAATTCGAAATTCTAAAAAAAAAAATTATAAATTCGAAATTCAATACAAAAAATTATAAATTCAAAATTCCACAAAACTTTTTTTTACAAATTCGATTTTTAATATTCCCTTTAAAGCATTCGAAAGCGAAATTCGCGATTTTGCCTGGTTTTTCAGCGTTTTTCTGATATTATCAATTAACTATGCAAAGTTTTTATTTCATTTAAATGTTGAAAAAATATATATTAAAATATATACCACTAAGATCGCACAAAAGGAGGTACAACCACCATATAAGCCAACATTTGATCCTGGTGATCCATATATGGCCACAAATTTCGATACGCAATTTACTAGGGAGCCAGCCGAGCTGACACCAGATGATCCGTAAGTGTTTTTAGTGAGGCGTGTGAGCTGGTTTATGCGCTTGTCATAGTTTTTTT